ACTTTTTACAGATGCAAAGGGGACATGAAGTCATAGGGCAAGCCACTGCCCCCCCACACACACACACTGGAGAGCCCAACAGGTGAATGCAGAGAATTACAACCCCTCAAGGGAAATCCGCCAGAACGATGAGCAGACTGTCAAGAAAGAACTGAAACTGCCGTTGTGGGGAGATGACATGGTCATCTATGCAGGAAATCCAAAGGCATCGACACAATGGAAGCCAAACGACTCCGGCGCCCAGGGCCGGTCCAGCAAGGCTGCAGGCCAGACAGCTCACACGGGAGCAGTGTTTGCCTACGGCCCAGCAACGAGAGCAATTTGAAATTAAAAGCGGTACTATTTACATTAGCACTTGCAAAATAAATGCTCGGGTACAATTTTAACGAAACATGCCAAGATCTATGTGAGGAAAGCCACCTATGCAAGGTATCCAAGAGAATGGCCGAAGTGGACCGCGATCCATGTTCATGGACAAGACGAGCTGGTGCCAAGTCAGCCCCTCGCAACGCCATGGGCCTTTCACACCAAGTTAGTTTACGGAAACCGGCTGACCGAGTGTGGCATCTGTGTGAGAGGCAAAGACGCAGAGTAGCCCACACACCACAGGAAGCCCGTCGGACTGCCGAACCACCAGACCCCCGCAGAGGCGCCACGAGCCGCTCGTTGGAGCTGAGCCCTCGGCGTCGCCACGTGTGCGGTGGTGGGGCAGCAGCGTTCTGGAAAAGGCCACTAAACAGCCAGCTGAGCTCTGCCACAGGAGCGAAGGCTGAACGAGGACCGTCTCGACCAAAGGCGCTGGGCACCCCCGGCAAGGCTGTAACCTCCGCAAGGCCGAGACCCTTCCTAAGCAGTAATGAAAAGTGGGTCACGGGGCTGAGTGTAAACGGGAACCTCTAACAGTCTCGGGGGAGAAAGACCAGGGGAAGGCGCGTCACGGAAGCACAGGCGCTCCACACCAGTCATCGGAGCGGTAGAAAGTGGAATAGGACACCACTGCACTCCACCAGGACAGCCCCAGTGACTGCGCCCTGCGGGCGGGGAGACCAGAGCCTCGGGGTGCTCTGCAGCCCACGGACCTGAGCAGACTAACCGCGCAGCCTGTCTGCTGCACGCCCAGCCTCAGGACGAAAACCTCTGTCCTGCACACAGGTGGCTACCGCACCTTTATTCTGTAGGTGAGTGGGTTCACCCCATCAATGCAGTATTACTCTGGCAAAAAAGAAATGAGCTGTTAGCCAGGAAACTGGGTGCAGGAGCCCTCAAAGCACATAATTAAGTGAAAGAAGTGAATCTGAGCCACCGACAGCACGTTCTAGAGCAGGAGACTGTCAGAATATCAGTGACGGCCACAAGGCAGGTGCAGGAGAGCAGCACACAGCCAGGCAGGGCAGGGAGGCCCTAGGCAGGTGCAGGGGAGCAGCGCACAGCCAGGCAGGGCAGGGAGGCCTGAGGCAGGCCCTCACGGCTGTGGATCCGTTCGGCCGCACAGGTCGTCCCTGATGCAGGTCGTTCTCGATTTGTCCAAACCCACACAGGGTGTGCTGCTGAGAGTGCGCTGAGGATAAGCCAGGGCCCTGGGGGATGCCAACACGTGGGTGTCAGGTCCCTGACGGGTGTGGCGCGGGGCTGGGCAAAGGAGACAGCTGTGATTCCTGCTCGGTGCTGCTGTGAACCAAGAAAATGAGCTTACTGTATACATGTACATGCGTACAGTGCAATTTATTAACACGCACACTTGGTGCTCAGTAGGCCTGGTCTCTTGCGAGCGGGGATCGCCGGGAGGGCCTGGCTGCAGCGCCTCCGGTGTGCACCTGTCTCAGAGACAGCCCGCGGCCACGCACCCCAGAGCTCTCCCGAAGCTGAACAACCTTCCCCCACGCCACTCTGTGGACTGGTGGGTGCTGCCGAAGACTGTCTCCAAGGCCAAGCGTGCCCTGGTGTACTCGCTGATGTTAGAAAAGGCAGGGCCCTCTGACTACCAGCCTGGATGCGTCCAGCAAAGCCTCCAAGCTCGGGTGTCCACTGCTCCAGCTGCCCTCACGAAACTGTCCAGACCTGCTGCCCAACCAGAGCCAGACACCCGCCCGGCTGCCCCTCCTCCTTCACTGCCCTTCTCTGCCCTTGACCCTCCGGTCACGCTGCCTTCCCACAGCCGTCCCGCCCCCCAGGGGCTGGTACTAGCGGCCCTGTGCAGCCCGGAGGTCCCCCCAGACCCCCGGCCCCCCAGTGCTCCGCCATCACAGTTGATGACGACACTCAGAAGGGCTTTGAAGGAGTTTACGGTGATCTCCTCTGAGCCCTTGCTATTTGATTTTTTCTCTTTTAATCTCTGATAGTCTGAAAGCAATTTATCTTGGGGCTTATCTGGGCCTCTCGTTCCTTGATGCCTTTGAAGATTGGCAGAAGGACACCGGCGGTGGGAAGGGGGGAGAGGGCACACTCTTAGGACTCATTTCTGTCTCTTCTAAACCCTCAGCCCCAGCGGGAGATGCAAACCCAATGACGCACTCTCAGAGGCTGGGCTGAAGGAGCCCAGGCAGCCGCCGGGAAAGTGCAGTCCAGCGACGGTGAGGGCGATCAAGACACACAGGGCCCTCCGGAAGGAGTTTTCTACGGGGGAGCAGCCCAGTCTGAGGGTGGGCTCCTGCTCCGTGCCAGGGTGAACCTGACCTTGCCTGCGCCTCTGTGGCCGGTGACCTGGTCGCCAGCAACTGGACTCGCGGCGGGTGGGGAGGCCGGCTCTATCCCTCACCAGGTGTATCAACGGTGCTGCCCAAGTGAGTACACCTGTAACACGTGTGCTACCAGCCTGAAGCAGTAAGGTGGGGACCCCACTCCGAACAATTCCTTGGGAATCAGAGACCGCGGAGACGTGACCCGCGACATCCCGTGGCTCTCCCGCACGCAGCGATCCTTGCAGGGCCTCTGTCCATGCTCAAGACAGAGGGGTGAGGCAAGGTACGGCCCTCGAGGGCTCGAGAGCTGGTCAAGAAAGAGAAGTGCCGACTCACGGGCCCCGGACTCATTCTTGACATGCAGGACGGTGAGGACTGAGGATGGGGAGGTGACGTCCAGCGCAGGACGGGCCAGACTCAGACCTGGCTCCCCCGGCTCCCTGCCTGCCACACGGCGGGCTCCTTTGGCCAGGCTGGGCCCGCAGTTCAGAAGCCTGGTCTTGCTAACACACGTTCTTGTGGTCCCAGGGCCCTGCCACTGGGGTAAACTCCTAAACAGGCGACCCACCAATATGGGGGTCCGGCTCGAGTCAGAAGAGACCATGATCACATGGCTCTCGGAAAGGAAAACCCCTGTGTCGAGTACCTTTTACTTCAGTAACGTTTTCCTCAACTTAAATATAGGCAACGAGATTATTCCCGCAAGCCCCATGTCCGGTGTGTTACTTCCGCTCACTGCTGGCAAGCGCGTGGGGACCTGGGGCTTCTCAAGTGGCCCAGGCACGACTGCGAGCTCTGTGGAGGGACGCTCACCGCCCAGACCGGCCGCTCCTGCCCCCTCACAATCACTACCGGGAGAGGACAAGCGCGTGAGGCCCCGCCCCCGTGCCCTTGGCCCTGTGACGTCACCTCGCCAAGCCCCACGGCGGACCGGAGGCGGGATGCTGTGCCCCGTTTACAGACGGGGGTCCGCGGTTGGCCTGCGAAGTGCGATCAGAACGCACCACCGCCACGTGCCCAGCACCCACTGGTGCCCCACTGCTGCTCTCCTGCCCACCTCCTGTACTCCAAGCGTCCGCGCAGGATGAGCCTCCGGGACAGACCCCAGACACCCACCCTGAGACTGCGCCCTGTCTTCCTGCCTCAGCCTATACCTTGTCCTCAAGCTCGGAACTCCTCCTCCAGGCAGCCCTCCTTCAAGGTCCTGACCTGGCCTCGTCTGGGGCAGTGGAAGAGGGAGGGTACCTTCTCTGGCCGCTCCTACTCCCCCTCCTTGCCATCTCGCCAAGCTGCTTATCAGCCCCGAGACACAGAGCACCGAGGCGGAGCCAGGTCTCGCTCACACGGATGGCCCGGCCCGGCAGGCGGCGAGGGGAGCCTCCGGCGGCTCGCCAGCTTCAGAGCGTGGCCCTTTCAAGTGTCTCACAGTGAAAAACTGGCGAAGTGAAAAACCTACCACCAAGGGAAGGGCTGAGGTCACACCCAGACAACCTCAAGGAAAATGTGAGTGCTAGTACGAGTCAGGACCACCTCCTCTGCGTCATAGATGAACGCAGTCTCGCCCTGGCTCCGGCTCCTGCTTCACTCCCGAGGCGACTTCAGAGGCCACCCAGCCTCGGAAGGCCGCCGAGCGCCGTCCTCTAATGGTGCCAGGCTCCAAGAGCGTCGTCTGCACAAAGCAGCGAGGCGGAGACACACACAGCCACCAGCTCCTTGCTCATCGGCCTCTGAGACGGCTGTGAGGGCCTGGGCCGCAGGCTGGGGACAGCAACTGTCGCTGCCCCTCAGATGCCTTCTGTAGGCTTTGGAAGAGAGTCTGGTCTCTGCAAAGGGACAAGGATAGCCGCAGAGAGCTGAAACGAGAAGTCTCTTTATGCCACTCTATCTAGAAATGACAGCTGGTGAAACAGGGTGGAAGAACCCAGAATGTGTGCCGAGCCCTGCGCACCCAGAGCCCGGGGCCGGGCAGGAGGCTGGCATCAGCATGCAGAGGCTAGACGCGGCTGCGCGTGCCCCAGGGCGCCGACACTCTGTGGGCAAGGCAAACGGGGCGCAAACAGGCAGCCGGAGGCCACGCGCTTTCACGGCCTCCTGGGCTGGGCCGGCCTGTGGCTATGTTCCGAGACTGCTCAGCGCAGAGCCCTGCTCAGACACAGACGCGTGGCGTGCTACCTAGGGCGGTGCGCGGCGGCGGGCGGCGGGCGGGCGCCACTGCCACGTCTAGGCGTGCCAGTCCGCCGCCCAAAATAAGCCTGCAGCTCGCTTCCCGTGCAGACAGACCTGACCGGGGGATGAGAGCGTGGGGGTGCGCGTGTGTGCTCAGGCGTGCCGGGTGGGTGTCTGTGTGCACCGCTCCATGCATGCAGGCACGTGCATACGCGGGTGCGTGTGAGCTTGCCAAAGCCCCTGAATGCTTGATTTACGCCCAAGGTGACGGGGTCTCAGAAGGACGCGTGGCTTTCCGAGGCTCGCAGGCGCGCTGGAGGCGGCACTTGTGTGCAGGCATCAGAGCAAGCTCCCCTGCCCTCTGGGTTCCAACGCCCACGCCCCCAGCAACCGAGCCCCTGCAGCGTTCGCGGTTTTTATGCCGGAAGACAGCGGAAGGAAGCACCTCGAGTTTCGAAAGCCGCCTGTGCGCCGTCTGTGGCATAAAAAGAGATGCAGTGAAGACGGAGGCGCAGCCGGGGCCAGGTGTGCCTGCTTTCAGCCTCAGCTCGGTCTCGGGCGAGCTCGAGGGATGAGAACGCGCAAAGCTAACTCGCAGTCACTGAGCCACGTGGCGGCCCGCCCACGAGTGCTCAGCCCTCGCCACCGCGAATGTGAGCGGCACCTTTGGTGACAACTCGCGGTTTGAAATGAAAGTGCCTCAGAGGCATCCTCTCAAGGAGAGCGTGTGCCCAGACAGCGCACGGGCTGGGGTCGTGGGCACTGGCTGCGCCTTCGCCGTGACGCACACCCGCGTCTGGCGCTCCGCGGGCCGGGGCTGGTGAACGTTCAGCGGCAGCTACGACTCCTGTCCCTGCTGTTAGCCATTCTTGGGACTGTCGCTTAGGAAATGTGTGCGGGGCTGCACTCGGGGCCGCTTTCCTCGGCAGATTTTCCTGACGCTGATTCTCTGCCCAAAAAGCAAATGTGTTCAAAGCTGACATCTGGGACTCTTCCCCGTGACAGGGGCCTGGCACCGGGGGGGCGGGGGCGCCTGGAGGGTGAGGAGGACGCTGCAGGGCTGGGGGCTCACACGCCGGGTCGACAGGCAGCGGGACGCCTACATATGCACCAGTGTGAGGAAGCAAGGAGCACCCAGGGGGACGGGGCTGCCGCTCGGGCGTGCTACTTACCAGCTCAGTGTGAACTTTGAGATGTGCCTGCAGCTTATATTTATCTGGAGTCGAGTAGTCACAGCCAGCAGTGGGGCACTTCAGCAAGATGTTACTGTGTTTCTGAATTACATGGCGTTTAAGGCAGTTTTTGGTGATGGAAGAGTAATGGCACTGGGAGCAATAATACAGATGTTCCCGGGTGTGGGTGCGGACATGCATGTCAAAATGCACTTGGTACCAAAAAAGTTTGCCTAAAAAAATATTTTCACATGAGAACAAGGAAGTTTCTTTTATGCTGAATCTGATTTTTTTTTTAATTACTATTATTTCCTAGCGACTAGATGTATCTCCCTCTCGTGCCTGTCCAGGTCGCCCTCCACGCTCTGCGCCACATTCCTGCCTGGGCATTACTTCTCAGAGGTGGGCATCTGCAAATCTCAAGGGTGCTGCTCTCTGCGCAGACTGCCAGAGCTAAGAGAGGCGACGGACGACTACGGAGGCCCAGCCACGGTGTGGACGCCGCGCTGCGCGTGCCGGGCGCGTCGCCACGCCGGCCACGCCCCGACACCTCCTGCTGCGCTGCCAGCTCCCCCGGGCTCAGGGCATGCTGCCCTGGGGGCTGGGAGCTCTACTGGGACCTCCCTACAGGAAGCCGCCGCCACTTCGGAAACCTCTGTGCTCACCACGCACACGGCCACAACCTCGAGCTCTACTTTAAACCTGCGTGGGCCAGAAGACAGACGCTCCTGGGTCACAGTTCTGGCCAGCGAGCACACCTGACCAGCCAACACGGTTACCGTCCGGCCGTCCCAGCTGCCTTCGGACTCCACGTGCTAACCGGCCACAGGGCGGCCACCCGTTCACTGCTATCTACCGTGGAAGAAGGACAGCTCGCTTAGAAGGAGTTCTTTGCAAAGAGACATGAGCTCAAATCAAGCGCCAGGCGACCCACAGCCGGGCGGGGTCGGAGGCGCTGCTGGCAGGGCGCGCCCACCAGCTGCAGGCCCGAGCTGCCCCTTACCACAGTATTCACACTCCAGGTCCCCGTACACCTTCCGGATCCGCTCGCACAAGTCGGTGTTCATCCGCCTCTTGTGTAAGCTGTCCAGGATCTTCATGAAGGCGGTGATGCCAGCCCGGGGCTCGGGGAGGGGGGCGAGAGAGTCGGGCCGGCGCAGGGCCGGGTCTCGGGCACTGGCCACCGGAGGAAGGTCTGTGGCCTCAGCCGGAGGAAGGTCTGTGGCCTCAGCCGGGGCTGACCCGAGACACCCACTGGGATCGGGGCCCTGGGACGGGCAGGCAGCCGCGCCCGGCCCTGCCCCCGGCGGGCTCTGGGCTCCGGGGACGCCGGGGTGTGCTGCCTGGCCTGCGGCCTGGGACAGCAGCAGCGTGACCTCTTCGCCGGGAGCCTGGGCAGCTTCTCCTTGGGGGGTGTCCAGGGCCCCCTCGGGAGCCACGGGAGCCTCTGGAGAGGGGGCTCCCTTTTGCAGCAAAAACTCATCTGAAACCACGGCGTGCGGGTGAAGCTGAGCAGAGACCACAGAGGCTTCCAGCTCGCCGGGGGGCGGGGCGGCGCCTTCGGCTTGGGCCTGGGGGCTGGCTGCGGTCAGGGGTGGTGGGGCGGGCACCTCCGCCGAGGCCTCCGGCCCCTTCCGCCCCGCCTCCTCGGGCTGTGCGTCCCCGCGGCCGGATGGGTCTTGGGGGGCGTTGACGCCCTGGAACACAAACTCCTCTTCCGCCAGCTGCAGCTGCCCGCCCAGGGCTTCTTGCTGGATGTCCCCCCCGGGCTCCAGGAGGCAGAAGCTCTGGTTGATGGAGCTGGTGAAGGCCAGGCTCTCCTGGGCGGCCCCGTGCGCCTCCCTGAGGTGGGCGCGCAGCCGGATGGAGCTGACGAACTTCTTGAGGCAGAGGGCGCAGACGTACACGAAGGGGTGCTTCCGCACGTGCAGCTCCAGCGCCTGGTACTTGGTGGCCCCGTGGCCGCAGAGCTCGCAGGCGAAGGGCCACTGGTCGCCGTGCACCAGCATGTGGCGGTCGCGGTCCAGCTCGTTCTTGAACTTGCGCTCGCAGATGTGGCAGTCGTAGAGCAGCTGCCGCTTGCCCTCGCGCGTCAGCAGGCACAGCTCGCGCAGCGCCTCCTGCACCGTGGGGTCCTGGGGGTCGTGGGCGTCCCGGGTGTGCTTGATGAGGTTCTTGACGTCCGAGTACTTCTTCTTGCAGAAGCGGCAGTGCTGCTTGATCTTCTTGTGCACCCGCTCGATGTGCACCTTGAGGTGGCCCTTGCTCAGGCAGGTGAAGGCGCAGCCGTCGCAGGCGAACTTCTCGCCCGTGTGCTTGCGCAGGTGCACGTTGAGGTTGGCCTTGATGGCGCTGGCGTAGCTGCACTGCGGGCACTTGTAGGGCTTCTCGTTGGTGTGGATGCGCAGGTGGGCCTGCAGCGAGTGCTTGAACTTGAAGACCTTGTTGCAGTACTCGCAGGTGAAGATCTTGAGCTGGGTGGGGCCGAGCCTGCAAACAGACGGCAGCAGCGTTACCTGGGGCCAGAGAGGCCGGCGAGAGGGCGTCGCGGGCAGGAGCACCGGGCGGCTCAGCCGGGGGCGGGAACTCAGGGCGGCAGCGGCCGCCCCGCGGGGTGCTGCGTGCCAGCAGGGGCGCGTGCAGGGAGAGAAGAGAAAGAGGCCGGACTGACGAGGCGGGAGAGCCGCAGAAGCGGAGCGAGGAGCGAGGGAGCGGTGCGTGGGAGGCGGGGGGGGCCCTCTGCCCTGTCACCCATAACCAGCTGTGCTCCCCTTGTGCTCCAGGGCGTTTCGAGGCGCCGACCTTGGCGGAACGAACCCAGTCTGCCCCTGGAGACCAAAAGGACCCGCCTGGGACTGGGCGGTATGGCCGCAGGGCCAGGGTTCACCACTCACTCAACTGCTGGGGCTCACGTGTCCCCTTTGTGGCAAGCGTCCTGTGACGGCCAGCCCCGGCCTGGCCCTTGGCCCCCCCACCCTCAGGAAGAGTGAACTGACGTGAGTGGGCAGCAGGACCGGCCTGTCCTTCCTGGGGAGCTGCCTGTGGGCAGCATGGGACATGTGAGCGCCTGGTCAAGGGGGCACGGACAGCCTGGTGGGGTGGGGAGGGCGGCCCGGTCCTGCGGGGGCCTCGGGACTCAGCTGCCTCAGACCAAACTCCCTCCCATGGCCCGCGGCCCAGCTGAGGTGTGTCTCACCCTTGTCTGCTTCAGGACTCACACAGGCGCGTGGAGGCAGGCTCCACTGTCACTCACTGGCCTCCCGGTCATTTGTTAGCAGCTGACCGGCGTGTGTTAACACCTGCCCACTGGTTCAGGCACTGCGGTGAGTGAGTGTTCGCCATGGGGGATGGCAGTGAGACCACGCAGGGAGGCTCGCCCCCCGCTCCCGGGGCCCCGGTCGCCAGGCTGGTCCCCGGAGACACAGCCACCCTTCTGCTGCCGGCCAGAGTGGGCAAGCTGGGTCCGAGGCTGCCAGCCCCCCCCCCCCGCGGTCCCCAGCCACACCCCACTCTGAGCCACGCCGGTGGCCTCGCCTTTAAATTAAACATTTTAAATGATCGTGGCCGATCAGCACCGGAGGGTACAATTCACATGATGTAATTAAAATATTCAGTGAACGTTACCAGTACACCGGCATGCTGCACCCAAGGCTAATTTAAGGAAATTAATTTGGATCCTTCTCAAGTGATGAAGACATCCAGGCAGCGACACGTTTTATTGTACAGTGAACACTGAAGGAAGAAAGCCCGGATTCGTGGTGTTAATTAAATCCACAAATCACGGCATTTCCCCGTCTGGTGCAAAATCTAAATGGTCTTTGGAGAATCTTTTGTTCTGACTTCTTGATTATCAGACAAATACCTGCCGGAGTCCTCGGAGCCTGCTTCCTGCGGGGGCGGGTCTGACGAAGACGGCGGGGCTGACTGCGGCCTCCCAGGCACCAGCCGCTAAAGGGACGCGGACAGGCGAGGCCACCTGCCCACACGACTCCAGTCAGCGCTCGGCTCCCGACGCCCCAGCCAGGGAGGGCACTCACACCCCTGCACTGCACAGAGCACTAGGCAGCGGCTAAGAGGTCAGGCGCCTGGACCCAGTCAGCCCATTTCTGGCCGCGTATCCAGAAGAATGGAATTCCAACAAGGTGCTGATCGCGAGGTTTCTACAATGCTAACAGCAGGAAGCTGCTGGAAGACCCATTTAGTTCCCACATTTTCTCATTCATTCGCCACTGGAAAACGATCCCAGGCACCGGGGACACATTTGGCTCAAAACCCCAAATCACACTCTCGTCCCTTCTAGAGGAACCGGGGACCCGCTCAATACTGAAAATGAGCCCACGAGGGCCGCAGCCCCCGCTGACGGGGAAAGCAGCCCTGAAGAGCACAGGTCAGGGCAGAGGGAGCTGCCCCGGGGCGGGGAGGGCCTCCCTGAGGACCCGACCCTCGAGCGGGCGCCTGTGCATGAACAGTGGCACTCACGGATGCCACGGGGAGGGCGGGTGTCCCTGAGGACGAAGCTCCGTTCCAGCAGGGGCCAGCGAGGAAGTGGACAGAACCAGCAGAGCGGGGCAGCAGCCCAAGAACCAGGCACGCAGGGAGGGCAGCTGGCAGGACAGCTGGGCACACCCCACAGTCACGTTCTCCAGGAGCCACCTGAACCCTGATGGGTAACAACCAAGTGGGCATTTGCAAACGCCCCAGGCTGGGAGCATGGCAACAGCTCCTCGGGATGACCCCACACCCAGGGCACGTGCATGAATGATCTGAGTAGCAAAGGAAAGTAAGTGTGATGTGATGAAGGACTAAAATCAAAACAAAGCTGCCTATAAAATACAAACTCCATTTATAAAATACATGGGCTGAAAGGGCTGGAAGGACATTTAATGAAAATATTAATAGTGGGGCCTCCCTGGTAGTTTAGGGGTTAAGGTTCAGAGTTGCCACCAAGGCGGACTGAGTTCGACCCCCGGCCAGGGAGTGACCCGCATGGCGCAGCAGACCCCTCTGGTCTCCCGGCTGCCCCGTCAGCAGGGTGCTGCAGTAGATCCGCCTGTCCTGCTCCCCACTGCGTCTCTGGTGACTCCTCTCACACATAGCCCATAGCTCTGGCCCGCACCCCATCTCTCGTATGAATAAATAAATCTTTAAAAAATAATAATATTAGCAATGGTTATCTTCATGTACTAAGATTACAAAGGGTTTTTTCTTAGAGTCTTCTGGACTTCCAACATTTGCTGTATAAAAAGTCCGCACCATGTTTATGTAAGAACCTAGCAGATGTGACCTAATCGACGCATCGATAGAGCCCAGCAGCGCAGAGTTGTATTTTACAAAGCAAAATCCTCACGTGAAAAGTCTTTCATAGTTACTTCATAGTTTGCACTACCAAACACTGACAGAAAGCATGACAAACAGAGTATCGCCCAGATCTCTTGATTAAATATTGGGCACGTTTACCTGTACCGAGAGGCGTGCTCCGCTGGGACGTTCCCCAGGACACCTTGAAATGCGCTGAACGTGATCAGCTAAAGGCTAATGAGCTGAGGACAGAATAATCTTCAAATTTCACTCCATCACAGCTTTGCCAAAGGAACAGGGTATTTTTACAACTTCCTCGATGGATTCGGGGGCTCACCTTTGCCAGGACGGAGGGCCGGGGCTACGGGGAACCCCCCCTCCCCCCATTATCACGGGCAGGGAGGGCAGGGGGCATGCACCTGCTATCCCTGACCCCCCCGTCCTCTGAGCGGGTCAGGATCGAGGCGCGGCTGGGGCTGGGGGCTCGTGACAGTGGAGCGGGAGCCCCATGGGGTGCAGTGGTGTGTCGGTCCCACAGGTGGGGGTTTGGTCTTCCCCAGTGAACTCAAGAGAAAAGAGTCTAGCTGGAGCCCAACCTGCCTGGCGTGAGGGCTCAAGCGCTCTTCTTGTTCGCTCTTCTTCCCGCCACAGCGGGGAGCACTGGCCCCCCGCATCCTTCTTTCCTCTCAGCTGAGAAAGCCGCTCCCAGGCTCGGGCGAGCGCAGCGGCTGGCCCACCTTGGTGGCACACAGCTCCCTGAGCCCCGTCCCCGGCGCCGGGAGGGCGCGGAGGCAGGTGCGGGCTGGCCCGCGTTGGGAGGATGGTGAAGCTGATGGAGCCCGAAGCACCACCATCCTCCGAGCTGGCAATGTCGGGTCCGGCGCTACCCCAGGGAGCCGTGAAGAGCAAGGCCACGGGGGTAACCTCTCGCTCGTCATGCCAAACTGGCTACAAACCACAGCACACCCATGCAGGGGCAGCGGCGAGAGGAAAGCTTTTCTACTCGCGGTTAGCTTGGGAGAAAAAAAATGAAAACAATGCACTGCCAGTACCATGAGACGGGACAGTGGGCGCCCAACTCCCACAGCGGAGGCTCCGGAGGGGCCGTGGCCAGCGAGCCTGTGTCCGGCGGAAAGCCGGACCTCCCACAAGGCTCTCGTGTGGCTTCTGACGCTGGGGAGGGTGGGAGACTGCTGCCCACCGTACGCGCAGCTATGAAATGAGCAAATTCACTAGCGGCTCGTTTACGCTCAGCGCTCAGGCGGCAAGGCGAGCCTGCGAGAGATGCTCCTGCTTCGCTAAGCCGCCTGGGCACCGCAGAGCCCGACGGGCCCCCGTCGCCCAGAAGCACACTCGGGCCCAGGGCCCTGCTCAGGGCCAGACGGGGGCCGTTCGCAGGTTAAATCCCACGATCAACCTCCTCATGGGTCACCCTGCGCGCAGCGTCCTGGGAGGAACACGCTGGCCCCTCGCCCTCTGGGGTCGCTGCCCGGCCGCTGCCGGAGACACTCACCTGCTGGACTTCATGGGCTGCTCGTACGGGGTCTGCTGAATGGCGTACTCCTGGTAGCCCCTCCGCGGGGCCAGGCCGGCCGCGGGCGTCTCGGGGTTCGCTGCTCCCGTTTCGGGGGGCCCGGCCTCCACTGGAACAATCTTGGTAGCACCTGAGAGAGAGGCACCAGCATGAGAGTGACAGCCACCGCGAGGGCCAGACCCACCCGAGGAGGCCGCCCTGGCAAGCGCCCGTCCCCAGGGGCCCGAGCCAGGCTGAGTGTGTGTGAGCGTGCTTGGGGGAGGACGGAGCAGGTCTTCTGACCACCAGGATGCCCTCCTGAAGCGCGCTTTCACTTTACTCATTGAAATCAAAACATGGGAGGAGGCAGACAGAAAGACGGGCAGACGCCTCCGCACCGAGAAGCAGCGGGTGAGAAATGAACGTACAGCCACCAAAGGAGAGGGCAGCAGAGCTGCCAGTCGCGAGGACGGAGGGCCGGCCTCGGCCACCCCCACAGGAAACAAAGGCCGGGGCGCCTCAGCGGGCGGCAGCGTTCCTGGGCCACCCTCGGGCGCGGCCGGGGCCTCTCCCCCAGCGGCACCCCCTGCTGTGCGCCCCAGGTACGAGGGGCACTGGGGAGGGGCTGGGCAGCCCTGGCCTGGGGGCACTGTCTCTGGACATGGCCGGGAGGCGGCTCCTGCGTCCTCATCCTAGAGAGCCCTGAGGTGGGCTGGCGCAGGCAAGGTGACTCACAGTTCTGCCAGTCCCACCGCTTGTGTGCTATCTGCCTCTCTGTGCACCGCGCCGCGAGGCGTCTCCTCAGCACTTCCCCCTTAAACGACCAGTCCCGGCCAGCATTAAACATCCAGGCTTAAACGGCGGCAGCTGCTCTTCAATCCGAAACTTGACTTCTCAGTGTGCCGACAGCCAGCGCCCCATGGGGCGAGGGGAAGCCCCCTGTTGACAGCCAGTACCCCGCGGGGCGAGGGGAAGCCCCCTGTTGACAGCCAGCACCCCGCGGGGCGAGGGGAAGCCCCCTGTTGACAGCCAGCACCCCGCGGGGCGAGGGGAAGCCCACCATTATGCTTCGGAATCAACCATCGTGACCTGCTCCTTACCTAGAGGGTCCCTTCCTAGAAGGGACATTTGTAAAGGATGGCCGACAGGCCCTGCTGTTTCATGTGAGAGACAGGGAGATGAAGCCTCCAGTCTTCCTAACGCATGAGCCACACATTAAAAACGCAGGCGGCAGGAGGCGGGGGCACGCCACCCCCGGTGCTGCGGCCCAGCACCTCGTCCAGCTGATTGCCCGCGCAGCGTGGGTGGGGCCAAGCACGGTCTGGGGAGCAGGCCCAAGAGAGGGCCAGGGGCCGAGAGGGGTCACCCCGGTGGCTGCTGGGCCTGCAGTGGCCTGGCTGCAGGGGTGGTGCGGCACAGGGGTGGCCCCCACGACCTCTCCTCTGAACTCCCCCAGGGCGGCCACGACAGGTGTCTCGGGCACTGGACGGGGAGCCCGTCGGGGCTCAGGCTCCTGCCCACCACTGTCTCCGCTCGCCGCGCTCACCTGGAATCGCTTCGTGAGCCGTGAGAACCACGCTTATGATTGGTTTCTTGGCACCGGAAATGGGCCAGGCCTCCTTGCCCGAGGACCCCTTCTGTGCTCTCTCAGCTCTCTGAGTCCGCGGCCTCTTCGGGGGCTTTTCCCGCTCGTCGTCCTTACACTTCTTCTCCAGTTCGAGGTCAGATTCATTTCCTGGGGGGAAAATACCAAGTGGCGTAAAACATCCCTGGACATCAGTGGAGGAGCTGGCCAGGGAGCATGGCCCCTCCGGGCAGCGAAGGAAACACACACACGTGGTGGCCACATGGCTGCACCCGGCCCCGCCGGCCGTCTGCCAGTCGGCCGTCTCAGGCGCCGCCTTCCATGGTTCAGTGACCACCCCTGCGCCCAGCCGTGGCCCGACACGGGCGCGGCACTGTGGACAAGCAGGCAGCCGGCCCGTCCCAGGAAGCCCAGCAGACTGCGGGCCACTGACAGCACACGGGAGAAGAGACGGTCTCCGAGGCCTGCGGCCGGCCCCAGAGGCCAGGTGTGGGCTGTGAAACCAGGGGGCCCAGTGCCAGGCCCCCCGAGGCCCTGCGGAGGGCGGGGCAGACACACAAACAGGGGCCGCGGGGACAGTGCTGGTTGCAGGCAGAGACGCTACTGAGGGCCAGAGACTCCCAGGGGACGACGGCGATGTAAATACACAAGCGAGGGCTGTGCCCGTCTGGCGGTGGGCACAGGTGCCTCAGAGGCGCAGGGGCAATGGCGGGGAGGCCCCAGCGGCCGCTTAGAGGACGGAGGTGGGGCCCTGGTGGCCGCCCTCAGGAGGGGGAGGGAGGCCAAGGCAGAGCCACAGCGCCCAGAGCACAGGGAGGGCCCGTGGGACGCCGGTGAGCTCTCAGGGCTAGGATGTGTCCGGTGCGGGGCCGGACAGGCCGCAGGTCCTAGGCGGGCCAAGAGGCCGGGAGGAGGCTGCTGGGGGCGCCAGGGGACAGCTGCTTCCCACAGAAGGGAGGGGATGCCCCTTCCCGAGCAGGGTGCTGCTATGTGGGGGCTGCAGACACAGCAGTTATGAGAGGTGGGGCCAGGGCAACACCTCGAGGGGCGCAGAGGGGAGGGCGGACCCCACACTGGGATCCAGTGGCACCGCCCTCCCCGCCCGAGCTGGGGTCCCTGGCCCTGGGAAGCCCCAGAAAGCTGAGCTCGTTTTCAGTGCAGCGCCTCTGCCACAAGCAGACACGCGTCGGCACACGCCCCGAGCCGCTCTGAGGCCCTCCACTGGGAGAAAGCGCTGGCTAGAAAAGGGCCCCCCAGGCTCCCCAGACATCTGGAAGTGCTCTGGCCGCAGGCGGCGCTGTTTGGGGACAGGGTGCCCTGCAGTAGGCACGTCCAGCAGCCCTGAAGTGGCCTGTGGCCAGCCCTTCGCCGAGTCCCGGTGGCCGGCCACCGTGGAGAACAGCCCTCCACAGAGGTGTGTGCGCTCTGGCGGCAGACAGGGTTTGGGCCAAACACTGAGAATGGGGGTGGGGGGAGCTGCGAGGTGGGGGGCACTGGATGGCACCTGTCCTCCGCCACCTCCGGCCAGTGCTGCCCTGGGTGTCCCAGTAGAGGGACCCCCCCCCGCATGCACGCACAGCAGGTGCCCACACTGGCCGCGACTGACTGAGCCCCGCTGGGCTGGCCCAGCTGCTGTCCACGAGACCTGCCTGCCGGCGAATCCCACGCGTCACTTCCCGGGGCTGCCTTTCTTCCTGACCAGCCCCTGGACACAGCCCTAGGTCCTGCTGTATGAGCAGCCGGCTCCTTCTGCCCTCTGCTCACAGGCACCGGCCTGGTAAGCTCCTGCCTCCTCTGAGCGTCCCCCCCGCCCACCTGCCTCCCAGATTCCATTTCAAGACCGAGCAGCCACTGGGAGGTCCCGGCCTCCGCGTGCAGGGAGCCAGGCGCGGTGCAGGGGCAGACTGAGTGGCAGCTGCCTGTGGGGGTGGCAGGCAGGACTGCCCAGCGAGCCAGGCCTCGGCTGCACCCCACTTGGTCTCTCACAGCAGGACTTCGGAAGATTGATGCAGCCTCATAAAATCCCTCATAAAAAGTAGAAGAGCCATGGCCCTCAGAGGGGCACTGGGACAATTAGGCTGTGCGAAGGCCGCGCCCCCACACTCCCCCCGCCCCTCCCCCCTTTTCCGGAAGCGCTGCTGGACCCTGCCCTGGACACCCACGCTGCCGCCCTGGACACACTAACTCGGCCCCCACGGCTGCACGCTGCACACATGTACGCACACATGGCTGTGGGCATGGCCCCTGGTGCACATTCACATGGTCTGAGCAGCCTGAGCTCTGAGGAGCTTCTCTGACCTTGCTGGAGAAGCCGACACAAACTCTCCCGCCAGTGCCTTTTACCTCAGATCGCCCTACTCTCCGCCTGCCCTGCCCTCCTCCCGAGGGGCCCTCTGGGAGCAGGAAGCCCCGTTTCCTGCCCACACCCCCGGCGGGTGGGACTGGTGCCCCAGGACCTGGCAGAGACCCGCCCCGTGGGGGCCTAACTCCAGGCAGCCCTGCATCCGGAGAAACGAGTCCACTGCGTTCAATCACTGAGCGTGGGCCACACTAATACCCAAAGTACCTATTCTAAATGCCCAAGAACTAATTAAATCTCAGAATCCCCCAGGGAGGAAGTGTTATCAGCCACATTAGTAAGAAGCCCAGCACGGTCTTGAGGACAGCCGGCTGATAAGGGGTTTAGCCTGGGACTGCGCACTGCTGAGCAGCACTTCCAGGGACACACGGGGCCCGCTGCCTCTGTCCAACTGCTGAATGTGCACCTCCCTTGCCTGGGCCTTCAGGCCGCTGCGCTTCCCCTCGGGCTCTCTTGCTGGGGAGGGAAGGCCAGGTGAGTACCTGCCTAAGACAGGAGCGTGCGAGGGGCACAGGCCTCTGCTCTGCCCGGGACCCCCATTCTTGCTGCAGAGTTACTGCAGTGAACACCCTCAGCATCCCCACACCTGCCGCCTTTGTCAGGAAGGTCCCATGGTGAAGGATGGTGCCCGCAAGAAAGCAAGCGTGGCTGTGTCGGCCCGTGAAGGGAGGGGTGTGAGGGAGGGGAGTGACTGGGTTGGGCTCTGAGGCGGACAGGTGACGGGATGCGGCAAGCAGGCCCGTGGGAGCAGCTAGAGGCAGGAATGGGGCCCAGAGCGGAGGCCACAGAAAGGGACTAGCGATTGCACCAGGGAAACCCCCACACCCCATCACCACTGTGTCAGGGGGTTGGGGGGGTGGCTGTCCCGGAGGGACCCGGGGGCCCAGCTGGCGCACACGGGTGAAAGGCAGGCTTACAAAGTCGCAAAAGGGCAGACCCATGCCTCTCCCCAGAGGGAGGCTGTTCCTCTGTCCCCCAGGGACTGGGCCAGGCTGCCAGCCCCCACTTTCTAGGGTGGCTCCGAACACTTGCCCCCTGCTGACACGAGGCTACTGCTGCGGGGGAGCATCATGAAGATTCTGGGTTCACCGCAGGTAAGACCTGCACAGAAAAGCCTTGTCCTCTTCCAGGAGGACCTAGGGTAGGAAGGAGCAGGTTCTTGCGAGTCTCCATGTGCAAACGACTCCAGAATAAGGAGCCCCACAAGGTGCAGAAGTCACTTTTTAGACGTGAGTATTGATTAGTGTAGGCTGAGACACGTCTCTCAGAAACACCAGCTGCTCCACATAGTGGCATTTCAAAAACTCCATTCCTGGTTTCTTTTACTATCCACATGCAGAATAAAATAAAAGTTGAATACATATCAAAATTGTTATTTTGCCTTGCCATGGTTCAGTGCAGGGAAAAAGCTTATTTCCTTTCCTTCTAATTGCTTTAACAAGCTAAAGAGTCAAGGTCAATTGTTCGAAATGTCACTAAACGGCTCTTTACAGAACTCAAGATTAAAACAATTATGCAAGAATTTTCCAAATTGTGCTGTTGTGCTCCGCAGACCAGGAAGCAGCGCCTCTGCCACCAGGCCGCAGTGACCGTCACTTCTGCCCATGTGAGAGGCTTCCCTGGAGGCCAGAGGGGGAAATGCCCACGCTCCCACCTTTCCGTTCCTATTTGTTCAATTAAAGTCCGCGTAGGTCATTCAAATCAATGGCCTAGGAGGCATTTTCCAGGCCGCCTGTGATGGAGGAAGCTGCAATCTTACTAGAAAGGACTGGATCTGTGTGCGTGGCCGGGCAGGCGGCCTCATTAATTACAGAGGAGAAAATAAACAGGGGTACCCGCATCGGGAAGGAGAGAGGGGGCGCGCTGAGAGGCACCCTGAAGAAAACTAAGTCCCTGAAGTAGGAAGGGGCTGGCTTCTGGCTTCAAACAACCGGGTATAGGTGGAGCAGGCCGCAGGGGTGGGGGAGGGGAGGGGTGCGCAGGCCCACCTCGCGGGCTGTTTGGGGTACTCCTCCCTTCTGGACTGACACTTCCTCAATGACGAAATTACGAGACTGGATCTAAAAAAGTCAACTCCAGAGGCTCAAATACTGAGCGCTCCCCTGGCTAAGCCAAGTGACCAAACCCTGAAGGGGCCTGTGGGAGGGGCTACCATGGAGGCGCCGGCCCGCCAGCGCGAGGTCCTTGCCGGGTCGCTGGGCACCTCAGTCTGCTCCTCTGCCCACCAGCCGTCCATCCGCGCGCTCACCCTCGCTCCTGGACACCCAAACCCAGGACGGGTGCGCGCCTGGGCGATCGGGGCGCTGTCTTGGGCTGCCCCACCCTGCACCCCAAAGCAACTACTGATGACCCCGAGACTTGCCCCCCGCCGGTGCCCGAACCCCAGTTCTCCGGCACTTGGCCAGGGCCGCACCGTCCGGGGGGCGCGACTCGGCGGCCGGCGCCACGT